AATATTTTTATTAATATCGATAAGAATACGTTTACCTACTATCACAACATATCGATAAACAAGAGTAGAGTGATTTTTATCATCGAAACTTTTTAAAAGCTGTAAGCTGGAAGGAAAAATCTTGTTTTTTCTGAGTTAGTTGTAGAACTATTGATGCACGAGTTATCATTGTGATGTAGAAGGATGTCAATGTACTGACTGAAGGATATGAAGTGAATTGAATTTCATTGCATTTCAATTTGATCAAAATTTGTTGAAATGATATGAATGTGTCAACATCTGTATCACTCTCTTTCACTCCTTCCCTATTCTTTCGAGAACGAAGCTAGCTCAGCTTTCGCTGAGCGAATTGACACTTTTGATGCCCTAAACGTACATGCTCTCAAATTTATCGAAAAAAATTATACCACCTAAACTAGTATATTCTTATTTTAAATATGATATTATCCTTAGAATCCACACTAGAATATATTTAAATCAACTTTTAAAAAAGTTCGAATCCTGCGCGTCTCACTTTTTAAATTTTCGAAAAAGGAAAATTATATTCTCCTAAAATGAAAACAATTTTCCGAATTGACATCCTTATGGTGAGTTAACATACGCAACAAGTTTTGAAAAAAGTTCCATATTCTTATCAAAATGTTACAATTTTCAAACAAATTTAAGAAATACTCTCAAAAAAGCATTCAAAGAAATCGGTGGTACACCAAAAATTAAAAGTGGTCCTCCACAAGAGAATTAACTCCAGAATTAATTTTGAAGGTTCAGAATTCTTATGAAAATTACAAATGTGGGGGATTCAAAAATTGTATATGGACTCTCAATATGAATCCAAAACAATTTCAAATCAGTTACATGCAGTTATTAAGGCAGCAAAATTTCTGGGAATTTACAAAGAAAAAGATAAAAGTAATCCAAAAGCATATTATGTGGATTATGAAGCAATTCTTCCAAATACAATCTGGCATGTGGATATTCATTTTTTGAAAGAACCAGAAACTTTACCGGTTTATGGAATAATTGATGACAAAAGTCGTTATTTGTTAGCATTGAAATTGCTTCGTAACAAAAGTTCAACAGAAACTTCAAAAGTGGCAATTGCAACAGTTCAAAAATATGGAGCACCTTTCTGTTTCTGGTCAGATAACGGTAAAGAAAATGAGGGAGAGTTCACAAAATTTTTGAGTACCGTAGGTTGAATAGCCCGAGACTAATTTCAAAGGTCGTGTACCAATAAAAAATTTTGAATCAATTTACACAACGTGCCCATTTTACTCACTCAATATTTGAGAAAATAATTCAATTTTGAGAAGAATGGTCCTCTGCGTTTTGAGTGAGTGATGAAAAAAAATCTCAGAAAAATTGAATGAGTTTTTATGGCCATGAACCAAATTTGTGAAGTTCCCGTTTAAAAAAAATGCAACCAAGAACACGAATTCCCGAGTTTGCAGAATTAGAAAACTATAAAAATCTTGGGCTATTGACCCAGATGCAACTCGATTTACTCTATCGAAGAGTAAATGGCGAGTCTTATCAACAAATACGGAATGTTTACTCAATTTCAAAGACGACAGTAGCACGCGCAATCATGCGCACTGCTACTTGTCGTTCATGGACAAAAGGTCAGTCAGGGGGTGGTATGACCCTTTTGTCACTACCAGATGAAATGCAGTTCAAAAAACTTGTTCAAGAGATGGCAGACGACTTGAACTGTATTACAACATCAATGGCCATTGCTGTCTGTACGGAATTACAAAATAGGAGATTAAAATTTGCGGCGCGGGTACTAATCGCTGCAAGATGCCCGCATCTTCTAGCGAAGCTCGATGATTACTGCCCATCGCCATCCCGTGGCTGGCTTAATCATATCGCCACAAGATTGTCAATTCGGATTGTGAGCTCCCAAACTATTGATATGCTCCGACGCTCTACCTGTGACGCAAACCATATTCGCCAATTTTTCCTCTCCAAGCATAGATACTTTGCCCGCAGGAAGAAGTTTATTGCGAATATGGACGAGACAATGCTCTATTCCAAACGTCGCTATAAAGTTCTTACTGCTGGCCGGAATCGCCCAGTTCGCGCTGAAAAGTCTCAGCTTCCACATCTTACAGGGGTCTGTACCATCTTTGCAGATGGTACAACTATGAAGCCAATGGTGATACTTCCACAAAAGAAGACCCTTGATGCGGAATTGGAAGATCTGGACGCCTTTTTTGTTCGCTCCGAGAGTGGATGGATGAACAAATACCTTTTTATGGTATACTGTATCATGTTCATCTGCAAAGTACAGGAGAAAAGGTCTCAAATGAATGTGTTTGATGCCCAGGTACCTTTTCTCCTAATTGTAGATGGTCATCCATCCAGGCTCTCTTTCTTGGCCGTTCGCCTCTTGAGCGCCTTCAATATCGAGCTTCTTGTTCTCCCAGGCCATACATCTCATATCTTACAACCTCTTGATGTTGGGATTTTTTCTCCCTTGAAGGCCCAATTCAAGAAGTTGTTTGATATGGCGACTATCCGGTACGATCAGCAAGGGCATATGGTGATCAATTATGTATGGAACGCCAGAGAACTGCGCTATATCATGGTTCGCAGCTTCCTTGATGCATGTAGTGTGTCTTGCACAGCTACAAACATCGAAAATGCTTTTAAAGCAACAGGAATCTATCCATTGGATATGAACAAACCTCTTGCTTCCAGATACATTGTAGCAAATGGAGTTCCTCCTGCAAGGCCCAATTTTGTCAACGACAAAGTCCTTACAGATCCAAATGTGATGATGCAAGTCTTCCAAATGGAATATGGACGCCCCATGCAGCAACAGGATTGGTATTTCAATCTGTTTGTGGCTATGCAATCTGTTTTGGCCTGGAATGGAGCATATGGCCAGGTTCTTAGTCGTGAGTTACATCTCCTTTATCCTACTGCAGGTGGATTTCAAAAAATCCAATTAAAATGATATAAAGCTGAGGAGCTCCAGGGTGAAGAGGAATTGATGAAGAAAAGAAGCAGCTGCATAATGGAGTGTGGAAGCATCTTGATGAAGAGAGGAAGCACCTTGATCAAGAGAGGAAGTACTTTGAAGAAGAGAGGAAGCACTTTGTTGAAGAGAGGAAGCTGCATGATGTAGTGAGGAAGCTGCATGATGAAGAGAGGAAGCACTTTGTTGAAGAGAGGAAGTACTTTGATTTAGAGAGGAAGCTGCATGATGAAGAGAGGAAGCACTTGATGAAGAGAGGAAGCACTTTGAAGAAGAGAGGAAGCACTTTGTTGAAGAGAGGAAGCTGCGATGAGAGAGGAAGCTGCATGATGAAGAGAGGAAGCACTTGATCAAGAGAGGAAGTACTTTGATAGAGAGGAAGCTTTGATGAAGAGAGGAAGCACTTTGATTGAAGAGAGGAAGCACTTTGAAGAAGAGAGGAAGCATCTTGATGAAGAGAGGAAGCACCTTGATCAAGAGAGGAAGTACTTTGAAGAAGAGAGGAAGCACTTTGTTGAAGAGAGGAAGCATGATGAGGAGGAAGCTCTTGATGAAGAGAGGAAGCACTTGATCAAGAGAGGAAGTACTTTGATTAGAGAGGAAGCTGCATGATGAAGAGAGGAAGCACTTTGTTGAAGAGAGGAAGCACTTTGAAGAAGAGAGGAAGCATCTTGATGTAGTGAGGAAGCACCTTGATCAAGAGAGGAAGCACTTTGAAGAAGAGAGGAAGCATCTTGATGAAGAGAGGAAGCTGCATGATGAAGAGAGGAAGCACTTTGTTGAAGAGAGGAAGCACTTTGAAGAAGAGAGGAAGCTGCATGATGAAAAGAGGAAGCACTTTGTTGAAGAGAGGAAGCACTTTGAAGAAGAGAGGAAGCATCTTGATGTAGTGAGGAAGCACCTTGATCAAGAGAGGAAGTACTTTGAAGAAGAGAGGAAGCACTTTGTTGAAGAGAGGAAGCTGCATGATGTAGTGAGGAAGCTGCATGATGAAGAGAGGAAGCACCTTGATCAAGAGAGGAAGTACTTTGATTTAGAGAGGAAGCTGCATGATGAAGAGAGGAAGCACTTTGTTGAAGAGAGGAAGCACTTTGAAGAAGAGAGGAAGCATCTTGATGTAGTGAGGAAGCACCTTGATCAAGAGAGGAAGCACTTTGAAGAAGAGAGGAAGCATCTTGATGAAGAGAGGAAGCTGCATGATGAAGAGAGGAAGCACTTTGTTGAAGAGAGGAAGCACTTTGAAGAAGAGAGGAAGCACTTTGTTGAAGAGAGGAAGCACTTTGAAGAAGAGAGGAAGCATCTTGATGTAGTGAGGAAGCACCTTGATCAAGAGAGGAAGCACTTTGAAGAAGAGAGGAAGCATCTTGATGAAGAGAGGAAGCTGCATGATGAAGAGAGGAAGCACTTTGTTGAAGAGAGGAAGCACTTTGAAGAAGAGAGGAATCACTTTGTTGAAGAGAGGAAGCTGCATGATGTAGTGAGGAAGCTGCATGATGAAGAGAGGAAGCACCTTGATCAAGAGAGGAAGTACTTTGATTTAGAGAGGAAGCTGCATGATGTAGTGAGGAAGCTGCTGCATGATGAAGAGAGGAAGCACTTTGTTGAAGAGAGGAAGCACTTTGAAGAAGAGAGGAAGCTGCATGATGAAGAGAGGAAGCACTTTGTTGAAGAGAGGAAGCACTTTGAAGAAGAGAGGAAGCATCTTGATGTAGTGAGGAAGCACCTTGATCAAGAGAGGAAGCACTTTGAAGAAGAGAGGAAGCATCTTGATGAAGAGAGGAAGCTGCATGATGAAGAGAGGAAGCACTTTGTTGAAGAGAGGAAGCACTTTGAAGAAGAGAGGAAGCACTTTGTTGAAGAGAGGAAGCTGCATGATGTAGTGAGGAAGCTGCATGATGAAGAGAGGAAGCACCTTGATCAAGAGAGGAAGTACTTTGATTTAGAGAGGAAGCTGTATGATGAAGAGAGGAAGCACCTTGATCAAGAGAGGAAGTACTTTGATTTAGAGAGGAAGCACTTTGAAGAAGAGAGGAAGCTGCATGATGAAGAGAGGAAGCACTTTGTTGAAGAGAGGAAGCACTTTGAAGAAGAGAGGAAGCATCTTGATGTAGTGAGGAAGCACCTTGATCAAGAGAGGAAGCACTTTGAAGAAGAGAGGAAGCATCTTGATGAAGAGAGGAAGCTGCATGATGAAGAGAGGAAGCACTTTGTTGAAGAGAGGAAGCACTTTGAAGAAGAGAGGAATCACTTTGTTGAAGAGAGGAAGCTGCATGATGTAGTGAGGAAGCTGCATGATGAAGAGAGGAAGCACCTTGATCAAGAGAGGAAGTACTTTGATTTAGAGAGGAAGCTGTATGATGAAGAGAGGAAGCACCTTGATCAAGAGAGGAAGTACTTTGAAGAAGAGAGGAAGCATCTTGATGTAGTGAGGAAGCACCTTGATCAAGAGAGGAAGCACTTTGAAGAAGAGAGGAATCACTTTGTTGAAGAGAGGAAGCTGCATGATGTAGTGAGGAAGCTGCATGATGAAGAGAGGAAGCACCTTGATCAAGAGAGGAAGTACTTTGATTTAGAGAGGAAGCTGCATGATGAAGAGAGGAAGCACTTTGTTGAAGAGAGGAAGCACTTTGAAGAAGAGAGGAAGCATCTTGATGTAGTGAGGAAGCACCTTGATCAAGAAGGAAGCACTTTGAAGAAGAGAGGAATCACTTTGTTGAAGAGAGGAAGCTGCATGATGTAGTGAGGAAGCTGCATGATGAAGAGAGGAAGCACCTTGATCAAGAGAGGAAGTACTTTGATTTAGAGAGGAAGCTGCATGATGAAGAGAGGAAGCACTTTGTTGAAGAGAGGAAGCACTTTGAAAAGAGAGGAAGCATCTTGATGTAGTGAGGAAGCACCTTGATCAAGAGAGGAAGCACTTTGAAGAAGAGAGGAATCACTTTGTTGAAGAGAGGAAGCTGCATGATGTAGTGAGGAAGCTGCATGATGAAGAGAGGAAGCACTTTGTTGAAGAGAGGAAGCACTTTGAAGAAGAGAGGAAGCATCTTGATGTAGTGAGGAAGCACCTTGATCAAGAGAGGAAGCACCTTGATCAAGAGAGGAAGCATCTTGATGAAGAGAGGAAGCTGCATGATGAAGAGAGGAAGCACTTTGTTGAAGAGAGGAAGCACTTTGATTTAGAGAGGAAGCTGCATGATGTAGTGAGGAAGCTGCATGATGAAGAGAGGAAGCACTTTGTTGAAGAGAGGAAGCACTTTGAAGAAGAGAGGAAGCTGCATGATGAAGAGAGGAAGCACTTTGTTGAAGAGAGGAAGCACTTTGAAGAAGAGAGGAATCACTTTGTTGAAGAGAGGAAGCTGCATGATGTAGTGAGGAAGCTGCATGATGAAGAGAGGAAGCACTTTGTTGAAGAGAGGAAGCACTTTGAAGAAGAGAGGAAGCATCTTGATGTAGTGAGGAAGCACCTTGATCAAGAGAGGAAGCACCTTGATCAAGAGAGGAAGCATCTTGATGAAGAGAGGAAGCTGCATGATGAAGAGAGGAAGCACTTTGTTGAAGAGAGGAAGCACTTTGAAGAAGAGAGGAATCACTTTGTTGAAGAGAGGAAGCTGCATGATGTAGTGAGGAAGCTGCATGATGAAGAGAGGAAGCACCTTGATCAAGAGAGGAAGTACTTTGATTTAGAGAGGAAGCTGCATGATGTAGTGAGGAAGCTGCATGATGAAGAGAGGAAGCACTTTGTTGAAGAGAGGAAGCACTTTGAAGAAGAGAGGAAGCTGCATGATGAAGAGAGGAAGCACTTTGTTGAAGAGAGGAAGCACTTTGAAGAAGAGAGGAAGCATCTTGATGTAGTGAGGAAGCACCTTGATCAAGAGAGGAAGCACTTTGAAGAAGAGAGGAAGCATCTTGATGAAGAGAGGAAGCTGCATGATGAAGAGAGGAAGCACTTTGTTGAAGAGAGGAAGCACTTTGAAGAAGAGAGGAATCACTTTGTTGAAGAGAGGAAGCTGCATGATGTAGTGAGGAAGCTGCATGATGAAGAGAGGAAGCACCTTGATCAAGAGAGGAAGTACTTTGATTTAGAGAGGAAGCTGCATGATGTAGTGAGGAAGCTGCATGATGAAGAGAGGAAGCACTTTGTTGAAGAGAGGAAGCACTTTGAAGAAGAGAGGAAGCTGCATGATGAAGAGAGGAAGCACTTTGTTGAAGAGAGGAAGCACTTTGAAGAAGAGAGGAAGCATCTTGATGTAGTGAGGAAGCACCTTGATCAAGAGAGGAAGCACTTTGAAGAAGAGAGGAAGCATCTTGATGAAGAGAGGAAGCTGCATGATGAAGAGAGGAAGCACTTTGTTGAAGAGAGGAAGCACTTTGAAGAAGAGAGGAAGCACTTTGTTGAAGAGAGGAAGCTGCATGATGTAGTGAGGAAGCTGCATGATGAAGAGAGGAAGCACCTTGATCAAGAGAGGAAGTACTTTGATTTAGAGAGGAAGCTGTATGATGAAGAGAGGAAGCACCTTGATCAAGAGAGGAAGTACTTTGATTTAGAGAGGAAGCACTTTGAAGAAGAGAGGAAGCTGCATGATGAAGAGAGGAAGCACTTTGTTGAAGAGAGGAAGCACTTTGAAGAAGAGAGGAAGCATCTTGATGTAGTGAGGAAGCACCTTGATCAAGAGAGGAAGCACCTTGATCAAGAGAGGAAGCATCTTGATGAAGAGAGGAAGCTGCATGATGAAGAGAGGAAGCACTTTGTTGAAGAGAGGAAGCACTTTGAAGAAGAGAGGAATCACTTTGTTGAAGAGAGGAAGCTGCATGATGTAGTGAGGAAGCTGCATGATGAAGAGAGGAAGCACCTTGATCAAGAGAGGAAGTACTTTGATTTAGAGAGGAAGCTGCATGATGTAGTGAGGAAGCTGCATGATGAAGAGAGGAAGCACTTTGTTGAAGAGAGGAAGCACTTTGAAGAAGAGAGGAAGCATCTTGATGAAGAGAGGAAGCACCTTGATCAAGAGAGGAAGTACGTTGAAGAAGAGAGGAAGCATCTTGATGAAGAGAGGAAGCATCTTGATCAAGAGAGGAAGCACCTTGATGAAGAGAGGAAGCTGCATGATGGATGCATGATGGAGTGAGGAAGCACTTTGAAGAAGAGAGGAAGCTGCATGATGAAGAGAGGAAGCACTTTGTTGAAGAGAGGAAGCACTTTGAAGAAGAGAGGAAGCATCTTGATGAAGAGAGGAAGCACCTTGATCAAGAGAGGAAGTACGTTGAAGAAGAGAGGAAGCATCTTGATGAAGAGAGGAAGCACCTTGATCAAGAGAGGAAGTACTTTGAAGAAGAGAGGAAGCACTTTGTTGAAGAGAGGAAGCTGCATGATGTAGTGAGGAAGCTGCATGATGAAGAGAGGAAGCACCTTGATCAAGAGAGGAAGTACTTTGATTTAGAGAGGAAGCTGCATGATGAAGAGAGGAAGCACTTTGTTGAAGAGAGGAAGCACTTTGAAGAAGAGAGGAAGCATCTTGATGTAGTGAGGAAGCACCTTGATCAAGAGAGGAAGCACTTTGAAGAAGAGAGGAATCACTTTGTTGAAGAGAGGAAGCATCTTGATCAAGAGAGGAAGCACCTTGATGAAGAGAGGAAGCTGCATGATGGAGTGAGGAAGCGTAAGAACCGATAACATTTACAAAATATTAAATTTATTTTGTAAATTTTCCAAAAGCCTTAGTACCAATGTAATATAAATGCACTAAAAATACCATCCCTCCTTCCAAAAGCGTAAGAACCGATAACATTTACAAAATATTAAATTTATTTTGTAAATTTTCCAAAAGCCTTAGTACCAATGTAATATAAATACACTAAAAATACCATCCCTCCTTCCAAAAGCGTAAGAACCGATAACATTTACAAAATATTAAATTTATTTTGTAAATTTTCCAAAAGCCTTAGTACCAATGTAATATAAATGCACTAAAAATACCATCCCTCCTTCCAAAAGCGTAAGAACCGATAACATTTACAAAATATTAAATTTATTTGTAAATTTTCCAAAAGCCTTAGTACCAATGTAATATATAAATGCACTAAAAATACCATCCCTCCTTCCAAAAGCGTAAGAACCGATAACATTTACAAAATATTAAATTTATTTTGTAAATTTAAAAAAAAAAAAAAAAAAAAAAGGTAGTGGGGCCTCCAGGCACTTCGTGCCCTCTAGCCCTGAATATGTTTAGTATTGAAGTTTTTTTTTCTTGGGATGGGCCTCCAGGCACTTCGTGCCCTCTAGCCCATAAAAAATTTCTGAGGACGAGCCAGCCGTTGACTTTTTTGTAGAGCACTCAAAATAGTATAACTTTGTCCGGACAAGTAAGGGTCTAACGTCGCTACAGGAAAAGTTACGGGCGTTCCAAGGAAGTATACTTTGAGAGACTCTTTAGAAACTTTAGACGTTTTACATAACCATCCATGCTTTTACTTTACATCCGATAAAAGTGGTTTGGAAAGTGTTATGAGATGGTTAGAGGACATACATGACTATGAGTTTAGATATGACAAGATAGAATATGAGAGAGGTCCTATAAACCGGAGAAAGTGTCATAACAAAGAAATTTTATTAGTAAGTAAATGTGGTTTGAAATAGGACTACTTGTTTTGGGTTTTTTCCATTGTGTCATTTATTTATTTGACGTGGCAGAAAAGTACAGAGAATATGAAGATGAACCAATGCCTGCAAATGTTCAGCATATGTACTCGTAAGAGATATTTTTATCTAATATTAAATGGACGCACAGAACTTAGCGAATGCACAGCAACCTGGACAACCAAACCCAGAGAATATTCCAAATGAAGTTAGAATACAAACTGCAATGGCAAACTATGGTCAAGTGCCAACAGATGTACAAATGCAAACTGCCATGTCAAATGACGCTGCGTTAGGTTTGCCACCATGGTATGCAAATATGAGATGGAAAGAGTTTTATACAAACCCGGAAGTGGGATATAAACAACTTTATGCAGATGACGCGAACACAGGAGTTGACCCAGAATATGTTTTCTACCAGAGGAGAAACAGAATGTATGAGCTCCAGTTAAAGAATGCTATGGAACTCAACAGGAAACGTAAGAGACTAGGCGGACATTAGATTTTTACACGTAGTAAATTGGGTTTCTTCAGTAGTATTGGAAACTTCTTCAGAAGAGTTGGAAGAGGTATATGGAATGGAATAAAATCTGTCGGAAGAGGAATTTGGAACGGAGTCAAAAATATTGGTAAAAGAGTAGGTCAGTTTGTTGGTATTATACCTAAAGACCCTGAACCAGAAGAGCAAGCTCCTGTTATACAACAGCCTGAACCTGCACCACAGTCTAGTTGGCAACCAAATCCAACACCTCAACCGTATTAAAAAATTATATTTTTACCGTTCGATAGTAGTTGTATATGAAACTAAGTTCTAAGTAAAACGCATGGTATAATGGAATTATTCTTTTTCTTCCATCTGTAGTAAACCATACTTGAAAGTCTGAAATACTTCCACTCGGCGGTTCATATAACTTTGTAGGTTTTTCGTAAAAGTCATTTGCCAAGCATAAGAAAGAGTTTTGGGCGCCAGAAAATGAAGCATGAACAATAATAGCAGCTGGGTCGAAAACATTTTCATATGTTCCATTAGGGTTTTCGACTTCATAAAAGTCTGGGTGTACTGGATATGCTGCAGGCTGATTTAACATCCTCATAAATCTATACCATGCCAAGTTGTTATATTTTGTAGAAATATAAACGTTTTCTCCAAGGTCTTCTATTCTATTGATTTTAACAGTTGCATTTTTCCTGTCATAAATAATATCGAGATGGTACTCTCCCTCGTCAATGTTATACTGGTTTGCATATTCGATATAGATATCGTTTATTTTTTCTTGAAAAGCTTGAAGAGTTGTTTCTAAGTTTACAAGCAAACTAACTTGTAAAAGTTTTCCCTGTTCAAATTTCTCATACATACGTTTTTCTTTGTTATAGTATCTAACTTCAAAACGACCGTAAATGGGAAACCATGTATGGCTTCTGAAATGAACTTCATTCTACGAAAGCCAATAGCTTTTGTGACGGATGGGTCTCTTAACCTCTTAATGGGTAGTCAAACGATAGCCTTCATGCTTTACGGTCTCTGTCTCAAACTTTTGACCGACATTAGTAAAAAGTTCATCTAATGGTTTAGTTGTAGCAACTCTTGAATTTTCTTTTTCTATTGAAAGCATATTTTATCTAGAATAAAAATGTCGAAAGATATTGCTTCCATAAGAGAAATACAACACAACCGACAACTCATTATGCAAGCTCTAAATAAGAACACAACAAACTTTTCAAACTATTCTAAGATATCTGAGTCATTGAAAGAAGGAAACTTAAAACTGACATTAAAACCCAATGACAGATGAGTTTCTGTTTCAAGACAATAAGAACCATACTGTCTGTATAAATCCAACAAAAGGAACTTTAAACGAGAAACCTATAAATGAACTTCTTTGAAAACAGATGTTGACAACAAAGCTGACAAAGAATATGTAGACGATGCAATAGCAAAAGAAGAAGAAAGAGCTAACAATGCTATGCAACAAAAGAACATACTCATCCTGAACTAGCAGACAAAACATATGTTGACAATAAAAGTCAAGTGAAGTGACGAGAGCTGAAAACGAATATTCTAAAAAGACTCATACACATTCTATTATCTGAAATAACAGACTTACAAGAAACCTTAAACAGTAAAAGTGCCGTTGGATACACATACCATGCAAATATTACAAACTTACAAGAAACCTTAAACAGGAAAAGTGCCGTTGGACATACACATACATCTTCTGAAATAACAGACTTAAACGTTAGCCTTGAAAATAAAGCAGATAAAACATATGTCAATGAAATATACCAAAGTTTGATAGGAACAAAAAAATATTGAAACTATTGTGGTGACTTTTCTGTCAATGAAAAAATAAATATTTTAGATGGCAGTTTGTACAGTCCTTAGAAAATGGTACACGTATAACTCATTCCGAAAAATAACAATGAATGTATGTAAGCTATAAAAGAATAATGGTACACAAGTTAAAGTTCCATTAGACAACAACTGCTACTTAAACTTATATGGAGACGAACAAAAGAAATATTTAAGAGTTTATGAAATGACAGATATGACATTGCCTGACCCAGCTCCAGCACCATATTATTATGACTATGGAGATGACGTCAGAACACCACATGTAGATGAACAAAAGCTAAATTATATTTAGATTATTATAGATATAAAAGATATAATGCAATAGAAAAACGAGAATAGTATACTATTATGAAGATGACAGAAATAAATATTATAGTCAAGATTTTACCTACCCTGAAAACATAAGATTATATTTAAAAAATATTCTGACACAAACCAGAAGAAACCTGAAATAGTTGCACTATATTTTAAGTTCAAAAGAGACAATCCTATAATGTTCTCATATGTTTGATTTAATGAACCCAGTAGGTTTCTATTTATACATCTTATGGAAGCAAGAGGTCCTCAAGTAATTGTTTGGTTGTGTTCGTGGGAACAAATAGTCGACAGGTTTTTGTATTGTGCAAACTCTTCAAAGGAAACAGGTGGAAGTAAAACGATTTCAGGTGAAAATTTACCTGCACACAGTCACTACATAGATTTAAGTACATCTCAAGCAGGTTGGCATAAGCATAGATATTGGGATTGGTCAGGAATGACAAAAGGTAAAGGATATGATGTTAAAGACGACGTTAAGTTGCTATAAATTGTTACTGGAGTGACACTCAGGGAGAAGGAAACCATACACATTTCGTTTCAGGATATACGCAAACAACGGGACAAAGTAAAGAATACATGCCACCTTACATGACAGTTTACGCATGGTATAGAATTGCTTAGTCGTCATTTTCAACTTCTTTAGCATATTCGTCAGGAGTTGTCTTATATTTGTTAGGAACTGTTTTTGAAAGTATACCACCTTGAACTTTGACAAGTTTGAAACGAGGTCTGACAATAGTCGTTTTATCTTCTGCTTGCAGTCTGTACATTTTGCCATGTTTGCCTAAAACTTCATAATATTCTCTTGTATACTTTCTTCTATTTTACGAACACGAAATGTGAGTACCTGTCGGTTCCCATTGTTGTCATAGTCAATAGTATTTTCATATGGGTCGCGTTTAGGTATTTCTATTTTACTTTGTCACCTTTCTGAAGTTTGAAGCCCGGCATTCTTTCTTGTTTGTCTCTTTTGACTAAATTATTAAATATATAGTAGTCTTTCTCTAAGTCAGGGTTGTTTTTCATTTCTCTTCGGGGGAGTGGTTTCCCAAACCTTTTTTGTTTACGGCTATATTGTAAATATTTAAAACTTGTCTCATCTTTGCCATGGAGAAGTGTCTATATTTGTCGTCATATTGACATTTCATTTGCTTCACACCTGTGGTTGGTTTAAGTCTCTTTAACATTTTTATACAACCGTCAATGACACCAAGAGCAGAATGGTTTTGGTCGACAATGAAATATTGGTTTACATTTTTTTGAACGCAGATAGTTTTTTACATCATCTGATTTGAAAGAACTTTCACAGTCAGATGTCAGTTTTGTTGGATGGTATTTGTCAACGAATATTGTCAAAGCAGTTTTCACA